TTAATTTATAATCGATATGCCATTATATAATTATTACGTAACGTATCCACTCGATGAGTATTATTTCATTATTGCAAATCACACATATATATAAATTAGTGTAGAGCCATGATGAAAATCTAAGTGAAAAGAAATTTCTTTGCTTGATTCGTTCTTTCTTTTATCATTAATTGTTCCGTTCCATTGATTTCATGACAATAATACTATGAATCGAGTGCTATAACGTAAAAAATCATACATATATACATTTTTGTAAGGAATGCGGAAGTTGTATTATCAGGATAGTGCAATAACACTGGTGAATCATATTATTTGAATAGACTAGTTCAAATGAATTACTAAAAATATGTTATCGTACCAATTCATACTATTTGCTATCAATTGTACCGATAGATCCTGGGTTCGAATCTCACAAGGCAGGATCGTATATGAACACTACTGAAGAGTTCCACAATAGGACGAAACGGCTGTCGAGTTTTTCCAGGTTTTCCATGGTGACCTAGCTTTAATTGACTCATGATCTCAACTATTTAAATTACTTCTATATTAGTTTGAAACATACCAGGTAATCACTTCGAAGTTATGTAAATAGATAAACCAACAGTAAAAATTGTTTGTGTATATATTCCTTAAAAACATTTCAAAGTTTTATTAGTAGTCATGTGCATAAATATACAGTAATAAGAAATCATATTAAAAAAAGAACTGATTCATTAATTTTGTACGTATAATTAAATCTAAGTGTTAGTACTTTATTTTTAAATTCTTAATTTCTTTGTACTTACACATGTAGTGTGTAAATAGCAAAACAAATATTTTGTGCAACTATTTCATGAGGTTGTTCTGATAAAAAAACACGTAAGCAAATGAACCCAGCTATTAACTGAATGAAACAAAGGATGTAATAAGGTTATAGTATTTCACACAATTTCTTTTTCCTATACACTTCCTTTAAACTTTCATGAATGAATCTCAGTCAATCAGCTACAACGTAGGGCCAGGTACATATATACATCGGTCCAAGTTTCCAAAAATGAATCTGCCCATCATATAACGTTATCAAAATAAATAGTATGATTATTAGCCGTAAAAATGCAATAACATCTCATCAGACAATGATAGAATGACATGAACTACAGTAAGCTGATGATCGAATGAAGTATGTGTATGCATAAACAAACTGTTAAAGAACTACTGTAAATGGTTATGTTATACTTACTTGGAAACGATCAGAATCAAAAATGCATTACTTGAAAGATAAGAATCTATGGATGAAAATTAGTTTAATATGAAAACAGACATAATGTGAAATAAATATTGAAAAAAAAAGATTAAAGGATAATTGCGTTCCTTAACACATCACAGTTATGAATAAAGACAGAAAAATATCATGACTCCTAGCTTCGTAACGACTGCCTTAATATTTAAACTACAACTTAAATCTAATACCTTATAATAATCATAGTGATTATTAATTTGTACCAACCCTTTCAATTTTATCATAAACGGTTACCATAATCCGAAATCGCTGAGTATTTCAATTTGATGGAAACATTGAGAAAATTCAAAACAAGTAAACTGACCAATCAAATTAATAGTATTGGTAAGATTTGAAATTTTCTAAAAAGAAAATATATGGAAATGACAGTTGTAAAAACAAAAATTGATTTTTGTTTTGTTTTTTAATTTAGAAGATGCGTAAAAATTTCCAGTTTAAATAGTCCTTTTTTTTCTTTAGGTGCATCCTTTTCACCATGTCAACAACACAAATGAATATTTATTTTTATTTATTTTAACATATTAATATTGGTACAAGGAGGCACCAAATACATATGCGCCACACAAATCCCATTCGATATGTGTGAGGGCTGTGATACTGTTCGGATGCCAGAACCGAAGCAGGTGATTTTCTTAGGGAGCCACACCCCGAGCCTTCGACCTAAAGGTTTGATCCACAAGGCAGTGGAGCATCGTAAGGAGATGAAGTCCCATGGAAACCGGTGACCAACAATTGGTTCATACGCCATTTGTTCCTACAGGATACTGGAGCCCATGTGCACCATTGGTTCGGAATCCGATTAAAGCACCGGACATTCGCTTTTCGTTCTCTCATTTTCGTAAACAACAGTAGTGCCACGAGAATGCAGTGAGTAGGACTTCCCTGGCAGAGGCTATATACGCGTGGCCATGTGAGAGCATTTGGAGAGGGAGAGCGGACTCCCCCCACTCTCGGTCGTACCAGGGCATTTGGGGGCCCACAAATGAATAACAAACATATTGAAAAAAACCTTAATAAATATTGTCGTAATTCTAATAACTATGTATAATATTTGAACGTTATTACTGTGAAATGATTAACAAATGATAATTACTGTTTCAGGTCATTGATCAATAGAAAGAAATTTTGATTTAAGTGTAGACAATATTAATTTGTAGAAACTATTTTAGACACTTAATAGAATAATCCAAAATATAAACATAAAGCACATATATATTAGCAGAATATTTCTTTTTTATCTTAGTAACCATATATATATTTGATTATTTTGGACTAATAGAGCTAATATTTGGTTACAACAATTAGATTTATGTTCTTAGATCTTTTTTTCAGTTTTAATCAGAGTGAACATAAACTCTGAGATGCAAGTACATGCAGCTGACGAGTCCCGAATGGGACATAACGCGAGTCTTGGATTTCAATGCTAGCCACTATCCATCTTTGCTTATAATGCTTGTGAATTAAGATAATATCGAGGCACTACGCACAGTATGCACATATGCCAATAAGAGACTGATCAACTGCAGTCCTAATCATCAACAGGAAGATACAAGTAAACAATACCAAGTGGATTCATATTAACAACTGTTAGTATTTTTTATACAAAAACAGTATCGATTTTAAATACATCGATAAAGCTATTTTCCGGCAATTTATCATAGATTATCACTTTTTCTTCAAAATATGGTTCTCCATCAAAGAATAAGGAGTTGTAGGTCACCTGTGCTCCAATGGAATTCACGCTTAATTACTAGGCTTTATTATTGCTCTAAATATCATTAACACCAGGTTTTATCTACACAACATAATAAAAATTGGAAATGTCAAATAAGAACGCTGATAATATATAGTATTAGAATGAATTTGGAAATCCTGCACAACATAAAAGCATAATTTCATGAGTTTATAGGACGCTGGATTCTAAAATGACTATATGCCCCGACTTCTACAAAACATTTAGTTAGTTATCAGACCAACCTTTACAAGATAGTTTCTCAGTGGTATAATCGGAAAATTATATCTGTGAAGAACTGGAAAACCATGGGTACTGATGGCTTAGTATATACATCAGCGTACAAATTATATACAATATCCAAGTCTACAATCAAACTACCTCCTTTTACACACAAGGGACCTATCTAAGTATGGCTGATGTGAAATAAATCGCCTCCTTCGACAGAATGTTCGGTAATTCGAATAGACGTTTGAGTGAAAATCAGCTAGCCTTTAAGCTACAAAGCACATTGTACTCTACCATAAACGTGGCATTATAAATGTACTCAGATTCGCATCAAGATAATAGCATACTCTATATTCGTTTAGATATTTAAAATTACTGAGTTCTTTCCAGTCAGAATTTAAAGTTTCTAGTGCCTTATTCCAAATAATTGCTATTTAATTATAGAAACTTATCAAACCTCTAGCTTAACTCATATCAAAACAATCTTGGATTCGATCACATAAGCAATGACCTTTAGGCTAAGTGTATATAAAAGGCTCTTGAATTCACTATGAAGAGAATTTAATTGAACAAAATTTCAGGTCAACATTTCCAATTCATGGGAACAATAAGGTAAGACAAGGCAATAATAAAGTTGATTTAAATTGCAGTTCAAAAAACTAATAAAGTTTCAAAACTGAGCAAAACTAATGATGTATCTATGCGAATCTGTCAATTTCTAGAGATCGATGAAAATGGCTGATACAACTGAGAAATTTAATATCGAAGGAAATAAGAAATACTTACACAACAACAAAAAACCAATCCACGAAAGGGAACATTCCTCTATAAAGATTAATGAACAGGGTTTTTTCTAATTAGATGAAAGCTCGTATGGTTAACTTTATTCTAAAGTGGTAAAGATACAACAATTATAATAACACAAACCAATAATAATAATAATAATAATAAGCTTAGATCTGAAGATAAAAAAAGATTGAAGCGAAAAACAAAATAATAAACTATTAGCGGACTGTAAAATAATTTTTGTAAAGTTTTAAAAGGAAGTATATAAGTAACAGCAAGGTGTAAAGTAGTAAATCACAGGTAGAGAAAATGTCAGTGTAGTGAAATAATCATTAATCAATTGTATACACCAAAATATTTTTTGTTTTTCATGTTTCTTTCGTCTTGATGATGAGATCAAGAAAGGATGAGAAAATGGAGAGGTAAAAGAAGACTGAAAAACAAATTGTATTCTAACAACATGAATAATAATAATACCTGTTTTCTATTCAGTTATGTAGCGAAGTATTCAATAAACACAATCAGGATCTGTTTTTACCTACAAAAAGAAGGAATTTATTATGAAGAAATAATTCTGGAAATATAATGAGAGTAACAGAGAAACGAAAGGGGGGGAGAAAACTAGAGTACGATTTCTGAATGGTATTTTTTCGCCAACATAGAAATATTGTAATAATAATAAAATTAAAAAAATTTGAATCCCGAAAAATGAACAAACAATAGATATTAAGGCACATGGCGATTATCAATGCTAAGGTTGGAATTGATAATTCCACATAGTAATTGTTGATTACTGATAAAAGAAAGATACGTTATTAGAAAAATGTAAACAATAAAAGACGAAAGTTATCTGTATTCTTATGAATGAATACAAAATAATGAACAAACACATACACACAATATAAACAGGAGTTAACAAAAAAGGATCATGAAATAAAACAAATACATCACATAATCTCTTTCCCTATTATGTGTTCAGTCATCCAATTGCAACTTAATTGGATACTTTAAAGTTATGTTGAGTAGATTATTGTATCGCTTTAAATTCTCCACATGATAGTAACAGATCAAAGCTTCCAATGATTCAAATGTACAAGAATTTTCAACAAATCCATATTTTCCATTTACACAATGAATTAAACAATGTTGAACAGATGTTGCTAACCTGAACAAAACAAGATAAAATGAAAGTTAAGGATTGGTGATCATCAACAGTTTGAGAATGTCTTGTGGCTTTCGTTATGATAGACAAAATAGTTTGTTGAAGTAAGTAGTGTTTTGACCAGTAAATCAACCATCTAGAGACATTGTTTCGACCTGTGACTATTATATTTTGAAGTTGACCTTGAATTTATGAGCTAATGTTATGTTGTGTGGTTGTCCGATTCTGATACTGACATAAAAACTTCTTACAGATAAGCCTAAACCAACTATACAGGTAAGAAGACTGGAAGTGAGGACGCTTTATTAACTTGAACCAAATCAACAATCATTCACAAATATACATCTTTTTCACTTGGAAAATAAAGCCACGTTTTCAACTAATGACATGTGGTGATCATTTGGCTTATGTTTGACTATTCCGATACATCATTTTTCTAACTTTGAAAATAGGTCTCACTTCTTTGAAATGGGAACATATCAGCTTACTTCTTAAACAATTTGTTCGAAGTTTCTGAGCTGGACACCTGGTCGTGTCGTAGATTTGTGTACTCCCTTGATAGGATAAAACGATTGTCTGATTCTCCAAGTAACAATCGATAGTGAATAATACTAATCCTCTCTAGGAATGTGATGGTGTGTTAATCTTCAGTATCTATATAAAAATTGACAATCATAATAGTTTGCTAGAGATTCGTATCTTTATAAAACGGGCTACTGAACAGGAAGTATTCGTACTATCCAGTAAACTTTACTAGCTATATTGATTAGAATATGTGCATTCTTAAACTAAAAAGGTTATTACAAGTTTAGGCAGAATTAAAATAAGTTCATAAAACTGGACTATATACCAAATTACACACATCTTTAATTGTAAGAGGAATTATTTTCTAAAAAAATACTGTTGTTCTTATCTACGTTTATTACACCCTATTAGCTTTACGATTATTTGAATGTCATACTGACAGGTATGTGTTACAATATACTACATCAACACTCTATGATGCAGCCGGTTTACATCAAATGGTTCAACTCGGATGATAAAAAAAAACTCATCTTTAACCCTTTTATTGATGTCCTCTATTTCGAATATTTCATGCAATTAGTTCCCTTTATGAATTTAAATAAAGCCAGAACAAACACTGATATAGAATAATATGAATTCATTATATTTCGTGGTTTCTCGTCAGCTGCTTACAACGAAATATGTATTGGAATTTTGCACAGGTCAGAAGTTATCTGGTGTTAGAATTAAGGATGGGTGAATATTCATGATTTTAATTATAGTAATTTGGTTTGTGAATAACCTATATCAACCTCATTTACGCAGAAATTACTAAAGTAAACAATACAATATAGAATTCTCAGCGCAAAGTATTTCAACAAGTTTCCGATTCTTTCTTCTTGGTCGGTCCTGGCGATAAATATTGAGGAATCGCCAGTTAGATGTTAGCACTTCAGTGAATGAACAACTGAATAATGTACATTCTTTTCGTTGTACATTGCCAGCAACCATATTGTCTCTTATTGAGTTTTTTGTAACTTTGACAACGAAAGGTTGTACACTTTTCAGAAACGCAGCAGAATAGGTTATGCGATTAATAAACATAATGATATATTAAAACAAACAACAATAGATAACTTGTTGAAATATCTAGATGGCAGGAACAGGTAGCCCACATGCTCATGACTACTTAAAAGAAACTGACTGTCAGCCACAAGTTCGGGTTCTTGATGTCATCACTTTTGATCTTCAAATAACAACAAAGTTAAGTTCCAATTCGCCTTAATTAAATTTAAGTGTCCTGATTTAAAAATGATAATGTTATAAATACTACAGATTATTCTATAGATATCTTACATTTCATTCATCATTAAAGAAAACGAGAAATTCTAATAAAAATATTTATGAAGATTAGTTTGTTTTCATCATAGATTAATACTAACTGGGGAACAATTAAAGGAAATGGAAAACAATCAACAACTAACCTCACTATGGGTTATTTTAAGAATTATTTATTCTATCACTTAAATTCATCAAAGTAGTTAAATAATAATTTATCCATCAAACTTTAAACACACACTAAGAACATTAATAGACTATTTCACATGTAAACAAATCAAACAGACTAGAGTATTGCATAACATTACTTCCATTTATTAATTACTTACCTTAGGAATAAATCAATGGTTGTTAATGAATAGGAGAGATTTTACTGTTAGATTAGTAGTTTTTTTTATTCATGTTTAGTCTACATAATAAATTTATTTGTTTATTTATACACAGAATTTGGATCGAGGGATGTTCAATTAATAAATAATTAACATGCAAAACATAAGTGAAATAGAAATAAGTATCAACCTAAGTAAACCATATGAATTAATTTAGTTTAATTAATAATATCGATTCAATTAAAAAGGGAATACAAAACAAAACAAAACAAACAAACTAAAAAAAAGAAATAGAAAACCTATATTATCTTCTATAAGATAAAAAGAAAGAAAATTTAAGAAAACAAATCTTGTTAAGGAAAATTATCATTTGCATAAATTGTACATTTATGTTACATGTGAATCATAGAATATGCTATTCTTAAATATTTCTATAAAAAGAAAATAACTCCTTTTAAATAATATAGTAGTACAAGGTCGTTTTCAAAAAAATTGAAATTCTAGTTGTTGTTTTTTTAAATAACAAAAGTCAGTCAGTAACAACGTAGAACTTCATACGTACGTACATCAGTTCGAGTTGCCATACCACATTAGCACAGAGATGCAGTTGTCGATTCAAATCCCATAGTGGTAGAGGTAGTAAGAGTATAAGCAGTAATCGGAAACATTAGGGTTTGAAGATGTTATTCAAAGAGTATAATCCAGTGAAATAAATTTGGGAAGAGAAAAAAGAGACAAGGAGGAATCAGAAAATAACAAACCGATAGTAACAGTTTACTGGATATAAAACAAATATTAGATTCATAAATTCAATTATCAAAACCTATTAGAATGTTGTAGAGATATATATGTGATAAATATTAATGTTGGTAACTATATATAATTCTGCCAAAATTTTTTTACAAATCCTTAAACAGTAAACTGTGTGTAAAATTAAATAAAACTTACCGTATACCCAACGCCAATTTATCACTAGTAGCAGAAGGTCTGACAACAAAAGTCCCAGCAGGTCTATCCCTCAATAACTCCTCTACCTTTTCTCTAGTAGCATCTGTGAGGAACCAATATCGGCGATCACGTATCTCCTCCGGTAAATAGATATCATCATGAGAACTTGTAGAATTTCCCGGTACAATATTACTCTGGCTATCGATTGACTGTTTCGCTGAAGAAATGGAATCATCACATAATGAAGAACTCGAAGAAGATAAAGACTCTTCTTTAAATCCTCGGTCTTTTAATGCTCGTCGAATCTCGTGGGCCTGTCTTCTTACTTTACGCTGACGAAAAATTGCATTAGCATAATTTTCACATATTATTCGAGCTTTTTTGGATTGATTATTAACCTCTTCCTTGTTAATTTGGATTTGTCTTTCAATTTCATCTATTTCTCTTTTTAGTGTTTCAATTTGAGGTGAGATCTTTAACCTAAGCGATCAAAAAACTTAGTAAATTTAAAACTAATTTGAAAACGTGCTGAAAATTATTAAAATTTAAGGTCCAATGAGATTACATGATTTTCGAAACTACAAAAATCAACAATAAGTGCCAATATTAGTAGAAAAAAAACATCAATTATCACAAAAGTCCATTCAAAAACGTTAAATTAACTCATACATGAAGTATAGTCTCCTAGTAAAATCCGAGAGCCATACAGTAAATACTTCATTTGCAAAATGTCCATCAATTGTTTCAGACTTTGCTGTTCCTTCATTTTCATACCAATCACTCTCTGTTCCCGTTCGCTTCTAGCTGATCCTTTCAACCTTCCATTATAATTTCAAGTTATTTTGTAATGTATGTAAAGCGTTGTATTTTCGCCAACTAATATTTGTAGGTCAGGTATAATATACTAGACTTCCTGAACTTCAACAAAACGCAAAGTAATGAGGATAACACCCCCACTTGTCAACTGGCATATTATTAGTCTACATTCGTACCAGTCGATTCGATTATATCAATATTTTTCTACACTCGTTTACATAGTAAGGTGAAAAATTTAACAGTGCTATGACATCATAAATTAACCAAGTATAAACGTCAACGTTGCGCAACATTCACATCAAGCACTTTAACAAAGTCATAGTGAAAGGTATTTTTGGATTTCAGTGGTATTTTACTAAATTATGCTTTTTATACTAATTCCAATTTAATGAGGATGTTATTGTAACGACGCAGTCGAATCTATTTACAATAACAAAAACTACATTGAAAAAATAACTAATGAATGATATCCGTTTTCATTCTACAATCAATTTTTTATATAATGATCAAGGAAGGACAATCATTAATTTGATAAGTTATTATTATTTGCCTCTCCTAGCTAAGTCTGTGATTGTATAGAAGGTAGGAAATCATGTAAATAATAGTTTTTTTTTCTTCAAGAAATCATTACTTTTGTTGATAAAAGTTAATAGTTTCTTTTTTATTACATGATGAATGCAGTTATATTATAGATAAAAACTTTCCTTCGATATTTGACATTTCGATGCAGATAAACATTGCTTTAATTTATAACAAGATCCCAATAATTTCGAATATTTCGCTTGAATCAGAATAGCAATAAGATATTAAATAATGAATATAAACGTTCGAGTTGCAAAACGTTCCTAGTACATAGTGTAAAACTATAAGGGAATAAAAAAATTATTTTAATCTTAACATTTACACTTACTTTTCACTAGGATATGAATAATCATCTAACTGACTCAATGAGGTTTGTAACCAATTACGTATCTTTTGATAACCCTTTATAAGACGAACACCTTCCTCTTTCAAATCAATTGCATTTTTTGACTGTAACTGTAAATCAGTAATAACTTTATCCAACTGATTAATTTCAGCAGCTTTACTTTTCAATTCACTGTTCAATTGTGACTCAGTTAGGAAGCAGGCAAACACTCCATCTGCATCGCTCCTATTCTCATTAGATACAGTATTATCGAATGAGATATCAGTTTTGCCATGAAAACGTTTATGACGACGCGATACAGGCCAAATTAATCGTAGATTGCTACAACTAGTCAAAGTTAGTGGATGAACACGACAAAATTCAACAAGTTCAGAAACTAAACGACAACTTGGATATGGGGGATCAGTGAACCCGAAATAATCACCACGATGATATATTCGATTCAACTTATTTAAACCACGCCATCTATTGAAGGAATATGAAGAAAACACAACTAGATGGTAAGATAGTAAAGTAGTTAAACATAGGTAAGTCATGGAGAAAAACTTTATTGATTAAATAAATATTCTAAATATTTCAAATAGTGAATTATAGTATATCATTCAAAATAAAAGTTTTGCTTTCGAACGCGAAATACGTAAGTAAATATACACAAAATACCTGACTACCAAAGTGAATGCAGCAGATGAACTCCCAGAAGCATCACGAACAAGGAAATATCCATCTTGAAGATCTGTCATCAGTTCACGTACCTCTTCTTGAGTTATATCACCCCAATACCATTCTTGATTCTTTAAATCTTTTTTATTAGCAGCAATTGAAGTAGGACTAGGTGGAGTATTAATAGTTGGTGCAACTTCATTAGTAGGATATAGTGAGACGGATTCTGAAGATGTATGTTTTTCACCCTGATATCTGGCTTTAAAAAAAAGAACATGGAACTACAAATAGATAAAATTCGATTGGTAGAATCAAGTCAACTCAAAATCCCACTCAAACAGAATTATTAACAATTATGTGAAACTTTATTAGGAATGGCATAGATAGTCAGAATTCAGCTACTAGATTATACAACCAAACACTAACCTACTCTAATGAGCGTTTAGGTAATCACCATATAACACAAATTTTGACATGACTGCTTATAATCATCTTTTATTTCTTGATAATTACTAACAGAAAATGAAAACATTTAGACCATTTGAATATTTGAACAAATCTAAGATTTATTCCATCTTAATGCATGATTACAATATGCAATTTAATTATTAGATAACGAACGCCTTATTCTTTTAATTTCAGACTAATTTGCAATGAAACAGGAAAACCTGGATAAAAAGATAGTATAGTGAAAGTTGCACATCACTCAAACACATGAAAAATGAATATAAAAACCGAATGATATCCTCGATAAAATTTCGTTAGGAATCGTTAGATCAGTCGAGTTGTTCCAAGTCAAAACAGTACAACCAAAAGTGTGGTGAGCTAAATACAAGAGTTATATCATCAATGAACAAACAGTATGCGCTTAATTCTGACAAACCAAGTAACTAATGAAACATTTGGACTGATATAAATCAAGCAATCATTGAAAATCGTAGAATACTAGAAGAAATATCTATCAAGTGCTCCTCTGTCTTTTTCAGCCGATAAAAACTACTGATAAAATTCATTGTTGAAGAATATCAAAAACTAAATCGAATATACTGACAGTATATGTAGCCAAGTTTTGGTCGTTAGAGTTTTTATTTCAACCACACTTTGTATATTAGACTACTAAATACCACTGAGAATGAAAGGAATATGATTAAGGTTGATTAAAACCAACCTTCCTAATTCTAGAAATACCAGGAATGAATATTTATTAGACCGTTGAAAGGTGCTAACGGAAAACATAAATAGCGGTAAGCAAACCTTTGTATCTAGAAAAACAAATATAAATGGTTATAGAAATGGTATATAATTTCTCAACAGTTGTCTGAATGTTAAATTCACTTGCGTACTTATTATGATACCGTTAGAAATCCTCTTGTTACATGTGACCTTACGTTTTGTGAATATTCCGAGATCCATTTGAATCAAATGGTAAATGTAACAACAACAAAATAACAAATAAACCGCATAATCAAGAACACGATAACTTACAAATACGTTCAAATTGCGAAAAAGATACATAATTTCTCTGAAGATTTGAATCTGATACATCAGATTGTGCTTCGGAATTTTTAGTTTGGGATGTACATTCTAATTCCTCAGTGGAAAGATCAACAAAAGATGAAAAGAGAGCCTCTAAAGCACGCATATGTGTATCCATACCCATAGCTATGTCGGTGATAAGATGCCATGGTGGTCGAACAAGGATTTGTCGAAAAACCATCAACCAAGGAGTAGCTTTATTCAATACATTTATACTGGAAAATGAATTCGACCGGTTCAGATTGACAGACGATGAATCTGACAAATAAGACCTTAACTTATTTTGATGATTCAGCACGAAGACTAAATGGTTAAAAATATGAATCAAACACAACCGATGAAGTTCAGGAAGACTTTGAAGAAATGCATGAACAGCTTTTTCCTTTTCATCTAGTAACAAAAAATGAAAAATAATTATATATGAAAGATACAGTAGAACAAACTGAACTTATTAACATACAAAATGCAGGAAATAAAATCACAAGATTTTGTTGTTTAATGGTACGTATAACAACTTACCTATATTTCTTATATTTGCTAAACTGCAAAAATCTAAATAGTACTCTTCAGGTATCACATTCACTGGTAAATCACGAAGAAAAGCTTTCATTAATTGGGCAAAACGTACAATGTCCAACGGATGGGTAGATGACTGTTCTATACCAGGTAATGGTAAACAATGAGCAAATGTATCATGAAGTTCTTGTAGAGTATGCGTTAAAGCTGACTGTTGATAAACCATAGCCAAGTCAACAGGTTGAATACACGGATTATTACTGGCAGTAATAAAGCTTTCAGAAGCTAGTTTTTCTATTTGTTCAGTACATGTAGTTAAGAATACAGGGACTTTTGAATTAGAATCTAATTTCTATAAGAAGAATTAACAAAAAAATAATTTTAGAGATAATTTAATAATTGATTATACGTAAACGTATCATATATGCAAAGAAATAACTTTGGTGTGGAAAATCAGTAATATGAATAACTGACTTACAATATATTTAATACAACTTTTAAAAGAGTAGTAATATACTGATTTCTTTGACAGATGTATATATCAACCTAATCTAAATACTTGAATATGGTTGCTGGGTTGAATACTTATATATATAGTGATCCAACTGGGATCTTGATACCTTTATGGTTGCGTCACAGGATTGAGCTATGCTGTTCAGGTCGTGTAAAACGCGCATGGTGTCTCGTTCTCAAAAAACCAATGTAAATTTACCCTCTTGAAGATATATTTATAGCTGTGTGAATAATATACATACAACTTCCCCAGGTTTTTACCATTGTATTTTTATTAGACGGTCAGTAAATTTGAGTTTCATCAAAAAGATCTCAATACAGGAAAATTGTAGAAAACAATACCTTTAAAGTAACGGATGAATATACACTTTTGCTCTCAGAAGGATATCTAAACTGTTTGACATCCATGTACAAAAGAGAATAACAATAAGTCAATTATTTTACACAATTGTTTAATAGAATTTGAAGGTCATCTACAGCAATGGTTATATTCGGCTTACATTTCAATAAATTTTCTTAAACAACAAAAATATTTGTCAACAGGTACCTTCCTTATAAAACAAAGTAAAACTATACAAACTATGAGTTGGATCCATCAATTTACAGTTTTATTGTAGAATTCAACAGTGTGAAAACATTATCCTATGCAGATCACAACTCATTATTACAGCAATAAAAAATTTAAACACAATAATAGAAGGCAATATCACCGAGTACTCAAAAACATTTAGACATCCTGATAATATATATATCCATGATATAAGTTGTAAAACAATAACTTTACTTGTTCTTCCAATTTAACACCAAAGTATTCACTAACATACGGAACCAATGAAGTGGGAATTTCATTCGTTTCACAGCCAGCGCCCGGCTTTTCGGGATTAAATTCTTTAGTCGCACAAAATACTCCAGGACAATTTGAAAAATACTCTAAAGCTTTACAGATACGATGACAAATAGCTCCACACTTTTTACACTGGAATCCCTGATGACTGAAGCCTACGAAAATGAACAGAAAACAGGTGATAATTTTAATGGAAAAGTAAAATACCAATAATACTTTTAACACAACCAAGAGATCACAGGAATATATGTACATATACTTAGTTACTCGTATTTAGAATTCCCCAAATACAACTTCTGCTTCATGTGTGCTTAAAATCACAAACGCTGGAAGACAGAGCTGATATTAGTTTCTGTAGAAATTTGTAAGTTGTACTGTGATATATTTTCTGGTGATTCTAATTCTATGATTTTATAATTCAATGATCATTTGATTTTAATAAGACAATGAGCAAAAAGAGATAAAAGTAACACTGATGGGATACCTAATAAAGGAATATTGCACACTATACAGGAGACTATTCTGTAAAAAGAGGTGAGCTGGAAATCGTGCTGCCGAGAATCGCTACTTTTTCCTGGAAATTTTCTATCGATATCCAAATTCGCGAATATGTCCAGATTTTCTCCAGGAGTAGGTTCTTTACCTTGTAAAGTCTTTTACAGAAAAAAAGAAAAATACAAAATTTTTAAACAAAGTTCACGCAAGACCAATGAAGATTAATGACACCATGCAACAAAAACACTAGTAATATATGAGAAAATGCAACTAAAAACAAGTACGAACCTTTGCTAAATAGATAATGATAACTACCAGCAATTTTCAATGGCCAGTTAATATTCAAATGGAAAATCAAAGTTAGGCACAAAAAGCAAAATCGAGATCTGACCCCAGATACTAAAACATTCCAGTTACCTGGTTTAACCTTAATATATAGAACAACGTTTCTGTAGGTAGGTAGATAGACAAATAGGTATTATCGTTAGGTGACATGAAATGTGACAAATAAAACCTCAAGTGATTAAATTCTAATTATGTTCGTATGATTTGAGCTGAAGAGACTACACATTTCCCCTGAATCATTCAATACAAGTAGCACACAGTTGGCTGTTAAGTGGAACTCATTAACAGATACACTTAGATAATATACTACATATGATTTACAATTGAACTTCGATGTATTTCACAAAAACAATACACTCAGTATCTAGATATATTGTTAGGTGATCAAAAAATACAGCATGCAAACAAAAGGGCAGTCTTAGGAAATCAATATTACTATTTATATATGTGAATTGTCACCGTAAGACACAGAGAAAGGAGTTGATAAAACTGTGACAACCATGAATATACAGGAAAGGAGAATTCGAAATTGTAAAATTATTGTATAGTTAAGTGTCTGAATAACTTATGCTGGTTAGATGCTGTTGTTGAAATTCACAGCAGGATGCGTACGAAAGCGAAAGTAGATAAGATTAATGGTGATTTCTAACCCCAAAGTTTTATCCATTCTTAAAATCCCCACAATCATCTGCAACAAAATGTCACGATGAAGGTAAGATATTAATTTTTTATAGTTAACTGTCTCCTAAATACTTCTTACTGAAAAGAGAAAGCAACATCTTTGGAGATTCAGGATCCCAAAAGCATGAATGTTGTTCTCGTTCTACGATTTCGCAATCATCCCAACATCATTAAATAACTATTCTAGTGAGTTCATCTTCTTTAGATCAATAAAAAAGAGAAACCAAACAACCACACTGTCAAAATTTTCACATTAGCACTATAAAATTCTAAGGAGATCAGAACACTATAAAATTAACAGACAAACGCATAGACTGTAAGATAATGAAATGTACCAATGTACCAATAAATTTAGTACCAACCAAAAGAATCCATGATTTATCTACAACATTGAGAAAAATTCTTATTTCCGTCAATTAGTTAAACTTTTACATTAACCAAGCTTAACTTTTATGAGCAATGTGAGAGAACTATAAAAATTAACTAGTTAATCAAACTAAAATGAAGGCTGATTGTAAATCAGTTAGTTAACAAATAAAAGTCGAGTATTGTATGTATTGTAAAGTTTCGGACAAAAATTTCAAAATCATATGTAAATCATCTGCTAAATTATGTCAGCATGATGACTTGATATAGCAAGCCTATTAAATAATATACTTATGAACTTATCATGAAACTAGTTACACTGATTTACTTAAAATAAGTAGATTTATTTAAATTTAATTAGTTGATAATTGCTAAGTTGAGTGATAACTAATGTGGTATAAACACATAAATAAAGCAAGGATACAGAGTGAAACTCACCAATATTGCTCTTTCTAATGTTTCACGAGCAAATGGGTCAGCTACTCTACACAAATGAGGTGAATCATAAGTAACTTCTGAAAGGAAATTACCATCTAAATTCAATTTGATGAATAATCGAACAAATCGACCAAGGCCAACAACAGCTAACCAATGGGCTACTTGATTACAATTCCAAGAAGCCAGTGGCTAAAAATACACAAAACATGCGTTTAAAAGACATCATGAGCTATTGTCTTACAAAGATATTCCACTTCATTCCCAACACTATTTCTACCACTATAGTATTACTGTTTATTACTATAATAATCTTTTCATTGAGCCTAAGAACTTATTTCCGACTAAATAGGTTTCCACGTGATCAAATCATTGTCATTCCTAGATTTATTGACCATTTTCTAACCTACACATAAGTATTTATTTCTATGTCTTATAATCAAGACATTTTAATCTTTCTAACATTTATTATTATATGATAAACTGATAGTTTACATAAAAAATGCGAGCTTACATTAAGATTATACCCTTAAAACTGTATTATTTATTTATACGATGTTAGTGTAATTATTTTATCAGACTATACACGACCGATAGAAATTCGACGAAATAAGATGAGTTTTCGACCAATTATTCAAATGTAGTTCTAATTGTGGTTATTAAAATAATTAAAATACTTAAATGTAATTGTAATTGGGTTGAACCAATGAGGAAACTTACCGAAACATAAAATACCTTAAAGTAATATTAATTAACATTTAATCACGAATATTCAATCGCTTTTTAAAGATACATAGTGATATTGGTTATCACCTAGTGACTGGTTCATCTATAGGTAAAACTATTCAATAAAACTAAAGTTGAGTAACAGAGATTAGAAAATAGAAAGTCTAAATAAGATCTCCTAACAAATAATAACAGATTAAGCTGTTGATAAACTATGCGAAACCCTTCAGTAGATTAAGGAAAAAACAACTCTACGTAACCAGATTATTTCAACTAGCGATTAAAAATTCAAACATTTTACAGTGTCTAAACCACACATTAAATTTTGTCTGTAGCTCAGTAGTTTCTGTATGACTGTATAGTAGACTATGTATTACTGATCTAGAGGTTAAGCGTTCGCGCGCGAGACCGAAGGTCCTGAGCTCGAATCCTGCGTGCGGGATCATGGATGTGCACTGCTAAACGAAACGGCCGCCCGGTGCTTGCAGGTTTTCCAGGGTTGTCTGGCTTAAATCGACTCATGAATTCAACTATTAGATTACTACAATTTCAATAAACCCTCATTCTGATAATATTATTTGGCTCCAAACCAATATACCATGAAAATGATCTTATTCGGCTTGTAGTATGAAAAATAATTGCAGTTTTAATCTCTAGCTACAAAATTTCCCTACAATGCGACTGTTGGGAAGATCCGGAAAACTCAAAAAAATTCAAGAAAGGCTCTGAAAACACTGAAAAGCATCTTATCCAATCAGCGTTCAATAGAAGTCTTGCCAGAAACGTCTAGAAGGTGAAAAGTCACATGTCGAGTTTGTGGTTGGATGATTACTCATACTGCTACCACGTTTAGTAGCATTCCAGAATTTTCCGGAAACCCAAGGACATCTAAAATACTATAAAAACCCTAGATTTTCTGTATATAAACGAGCCTTTGGAGTAAAGTCTTTTCTTCCACATTTCGCGCCGTTTCTCTCGTGTTCAAGTCGCTGTGTAGATCTAGCCTGGGGGTTACTAGAAAAGCTTAAGAACCAAGACTATCGTTCAATTAGAAGACTTATCAGCAACGCTAATAAAAGCTTGATAAATCTACAGTATGAGATTTTTAAATCAGATACAAGGAAAACCCTAGAACTAACCATACAGCTCTATGGAAATCCTCCTAGTTTTATCCAAATAACAGTTATAAATCATACACCCCGAAAATTGAGCCCTAGACTGATATACGGAAATGTCGTCATGATGAGATTCTCTGCGTTTATGAGTGTCCAATCTATAATTTACAGGCTATAATTAAGACATTCTGTGCAAAAGACATAGCAATAGCTATGCGAAACGAGTAACAACTGAAACGAATTCTCTAATCGCATATGACTATTGAAAATCGATCTATGCAAAAGAGTATAACACCTCAAGTAGATAAAACTGACTTGCGCAACAGTTCTACATTCTATTTTCAGAGGTATACAGTCTGATCGACGAACTTTTTAGTTTTATTTTTCGCTTCGAGTATTAACAAATCTCTGCAGGAAAAACTGTGGTACCCACAACACTTTGAAGACTGTTTTCGTGTTCCATCCCGACTGAAAATATAGATGTTCATGACATGTTATAATATTTTCAGGAAAAAGAGAACTACATCACTTCTCTACTGATACTGTAGTGAACAGAACACGGGTGGGGACAATCGAATTGTATTTAGCACAAAATTACAGAGTTACTCAGTAAAATAGAAAAACCATATAGTAAGTCGTTAATTTGCAAAATATCAATCCATCATATCAAACCGGACTGTTCCTGTTGTAATCATCAATCCATTGCCCCCAAATGCCCTGGTATGGCCGAGAGTGGGGGGAGTCCGCTCTCCCTCTCCAAATGCTCTCACATGGCCACGCGTATATAGCCTCTGCCAGGGAAGTCCTACTCACTGCATTCTCGTGGCACTACTGTTGTTTACGAAAATGAGAGAACGAAAAGCGAATGTCCGGTGCTTTAATCGGATTCCAAACCAATGGTACACATGGGCTCCAGTATCCTGCGGAAACAAATGGCGTATGAACCAATTGTTGGTCACCGGTTTCCATGGGACTGCATCTCCTTACGATGCTCCACTGCCTTGTGGATCAGACCTTCAAGTCGAAGGCTTGGGGTGTGGCCCCCTAAGAAAACCACCTGCTTCGGTTTGGGCACCCAGGCAGTATCACAGCCCTCACACATATCGAATGGGATTTGTGTGGCGCATATGTATTTGGTGCCTCCTTGTACCAATGTCTATGTGTTAAAATAAATAAAATAAATTTCATTGTTCATGAGTTTTCTTACAAATTGCATTGTGTTCCCGCTCTTCGTTTCTTGATCTTCCCCCATCTTCTGCTGCCAGACATTACGTTTTTAACTCGCGTCATATACTACGTACATCAATATAAGTAGCACGCACCACAAAACTATCACCACTAGCTTTGCAATAAACACACGCAGACTAGTATTTCTATTATTTTCAGAAAGGGTTTTGTGAAGATTTTAGTGATTTGAATAGTTGAGCTTATAAGTCAACTGAAGCTAAGCCACCACGGAAAACCTGGAAGCACTGAACGGCCGTTTCGTCCTATTGTAGGACTTCCCAGTAGTGCTCACCCACGACCCCGGGGTTCGGACCTATGACCTACTGATCCCGCGCGCGAGCACTTAACCACTAGACCACTGATCCGTCGTCCGGTGATGTTGATGTCTAACTTCAACCAATCCAACTTAGCTTCAAATGACTCATGACCTCAACTACTGAAAATATCTACTAATATAAAATCTTATCGAATATAAGAGCATCGAAGATGAATGAAAATAAATCACGAAATAAAAATACCTGTTCAGTTGTTGAAATAGAAGACGATAACAATGAGAAAGCATTACATGTTGATGAACAAGTCAATTTCTCTGATTTAATTGTCGAATTGTCATTTACTGGAGGCTGACACGTGAATACTTCAAATCTTTTAGAGTATTCAGCACAAACAAGATGAAATACAGACTTGCAAGCAAAGCATCTATTAGCATTACACCGTGGTGTCACTATATAATCATTACATAGATTACATATTAGCGGGTAACTGATAGAAACATTAACAAATTGATGACAACGGTAGGATAAGGCTGGAAACAAAAAAGATATTTTTAAAAACGAAATAATGTTATGCATGAAGAGGAAAGAATGATCATAATAAAAATCCACGCGTTTCTAACTTTGAGTTCTAAAAAATGATCTGATCCATAACAAAAATACTGATTTACTAGTTCTGGGTTTTGATTTTGCTTTTATTTTCCATTTTTCGCTTTTCCGTTTCTTTTCGTGTATAATATTATACTACTTATTAATATTTAGGAACTAATATTATTTTTGAATAAAAATAAAGAGAATTCAGCAAAGAAAACTACTTTTCCATGAAATTGTTTACTCAAGTTGTACGTTCGTATCTATGACTGTTTGTTAAATATATAAGTCTATAGAAGTAAATAAAAGATTCCATCAAAACGTAATTCGCGATTGAGAACAACAAATGAGGTTGCATAGTAATCAGAGGGTTAGAGAACAATAGGATGAAAATGATTTACGGGTTACAATACTGTTCAATGTCCCTTTGTTGTTGAGATATTTACATGAATCTGAGACACTTAATCTATTTATTAACGTAAATGTATTCTCCTAAAATTTTAAAAGGTTTTTCATTTCTCATAATTCATTGAGCTACTTTTCATTTGCAATAATTTACATAAATTACGTGTGTAGTTATCGTTTCGATTTGGTGACTGCTATTGTTGGACGGATATAACTAATTGCCGTCACTTAATTTGCCGTATGTTTTTGTAAGCAATCATTACGCAATTATTGCAAAAGGCACCACTTATTTCATGGTATCTTGATGTGTGTAAACGCACTGAATACCTCAAAAAGCGAGATTTGTAAAATACATTACTTATGTTGTCATCAATACTAAATATCACCAACTGTAAGCAGCTGACGAAAGCCAAACAAAATAAAATGAATTAATGCCATTCTATTCAAATCTTTGTTCTTTCTCACTCCAATGATGATACCATTTTAAAGAAAAATACTTTGTTTTGAATTTAGGTTTTACGCGTGACTCAGTCATTTGATTTGAGTCATCGAGGGAATTTAACAGTGAGGCTCTGCTCCAATCCTATTCTTTAGCACATCATACCAAATGTCAAAAACGTTCTTAATTAGTCAGTAAGCTTTTATTTACAGTGCAAGTGTATGTTCGAATAGTAAATCATAGTGATAGGTATATATTACTGTTTGGAACTTCGATACCCTAGATCAATCAAACCTAGCAAGCAAGAGATGCTGAGGGGTTCACAACATTGGTCAAGATTTGAACTAACTTTATGTGGAAATGGATACACACTATTGAGAATGCAGCTTAATTTTCGAAGGGAGATATTTATGCATACATTTGGTTCGGATCAGCCAGTAAGATCTTGCCATTTACTTTTGGTTTCTCCATGCAAGTCTCAGGCTGGGTCCTAGAGTAGGAAATTTTTATAGCAGTATCAGGTTCAAACGACCGCATAACATAATAAACTTCAAAATAGATAATCACTCTAATATTTAAAATAAGAAAGATAGTTGATAAGTGTAAATAAATGGATGGTATTTTTAGCTAGTAAGTAGTCGCCGTAATAACATATCTAAGTAGCAATCGACCCGTTAAAAGGATTTTAAGTTATTACACTGAAATCGGTGAAACGTTACGATCTTATCGTTGCATACTAGGTTCCATACAACAACTATTTAACACTTAACTAAAATATCGGTCGAGTAACTTGCAAACCCTTTTCATATTTATATAAATTAATGGCACTGGTTGTGTTATATCTTGAAATGTTGATTTCTTGATATACCGCGTATAGCAGAACACTAGAACACCCAAAACTCTTCCAAGTCGCAATAAGAAGGCAGAAGACTAATGAAGGAATATTATTCCAAACAATGTCAATCATAGTACAAAGCTGTCAGGTATTTATAGTTTTTAGTGAGAACGAAATCATCATTACAGTCCTCAAATCCGCATACAGGGGGCTATTAGCATTATCCAATCGGGAAGCTACACGTAGGAATACTAGAATATTCTTCCGAAAGGTGATTGGATGGAACATCTTCGGCTCCTTCTGAGCCTCTTACAGCTTCCTCGAGTTATCCCCCAAATGCCCTGGTATGGCTGAGAGTGGGGTGGGTTCGCCCTCAATCTCGAAATACTCTCACACGGCCATGCGTATACAGACTCTGTCAGGGAAGTCCTACTCACTGCATTCTCGTGGCACTACTGTTGTTTACGAAAATGAGAGAACGAAAAGCGAATGTCCGGTGCTTTAATCGGATTCCAAACCAATGGTGCACATGGGCTCCAATATCCTGAAGGAACAAATAGCGTATGAACCAATCGTTGGTCACCGGCTACCATGGGACTGCATCTCCTTAAGATGCTCCACTGCCTTGTGGGTTAGACCTTTAGGTCAGAGGCTCGGGGTGTGGCCCCCTAAGACAACCACCTGCATAGGTCTGGGCACCCGAACAGTATCACAGTCCACACGCAAATGATGAACTCTCTATATCTATGGAAACTACTTTTCTCGCTTCGAATAACAATCAATCGATTCAAATTATTATTATTATTATTATTATTATTATTATTATTATTATTATTATTATTATTTACTACGTCGTTATTCACCCTCTTTTATTCCCACTCTGTTTATCCTTATTTTTTCGACTTATACAGCAGCTCGTCTATGGTGGAAATTCGACTGTATCTAAACGTTCTCGTGTCACTGTCCGGTTGAAAATTGTATGTTACCACTGAAAATGAGTACTGAAGCAGTTTTTCTGAAACCACGTGCACCATCCAAACTGGCTGCCTTCAACGTTCGCACACTTATGTAGGTTGGACAATAGATAGGGCTATGTCTTTGGAAAGTCTTAATATTGATGTCTGCTGTCTATCTGAGACCAGTATTCAAGACTCTGGTGATATACTACAAATTCGCTCTCCATCTGTCGCTTCAAAAAGCTTGTTTCGCGTGCGCTTATCCGGGGACCCTGTGGCATCTTCGTCTGGTCTTGCTGGCGTTGGTGTCGCACTAAGAGCTAGAGCTGAGACAGCACCATTAACAATCGGTTATGTGCTGTCAGATTAGAGAGTTCCATCAAAGTGAGAAGAAATCGGCGTGAGAAACGATGTCTTTTCGTCATCTCCGCCTATGCCCCGACAGATTGCAGCCCAGATGCAATCAAGGATGAGTTTTACCACCAGTTATCAGTTCTTCTCCAGAAAGTGCGTTCGACAGATATTGTAGTACTAGCCGGAGACTTGAATGCCCAGGTCGGGCGTCTAGGCACAGAAGAGAGTCGTTAAGGTGGCCGATGGGGACTTGTTGGTCGCAGGTCAGATAACGGGGACCGTCTACTGCAACCGTGCACAGACCACAACCTGTTTCTGGCTAGCACTAACTTCCGGCACAGTCATCGCCGATGTGCCACCTGGCGTCCTCCCTCTGCATCTCAAGCCTGGACTCAGATTGATCACATCGCGATCAGCTACCGCTGGCGTGGTTGTGTAAAAGACTGCCGCTCCTTTTGGAGTACCTATCTGGACTCTGACCATGCCTTGGTCTGCGCCAATCTTGCCTTACTTTTCAGTGGCCAACGAAGTGACCACCACCAAAAGATTGATGTTAGCAAGCTGGTTGCAACCTCTGTTGCAAGTAAGTATCGAACCGAGCTAGCCTCTAGGCTAGCTACCACTCCACCGAAAAGTATAGATGAGCATTGGTTGCAATTGCATGACGCCATGAAAATGGCGGGAACAGTCAGTTGTGGGTTTGCGAAACGTCCCGCTTTTAAGCACTGGGTTTCTTCAGGTTCCTTACAACTCATTGAAGCCCGTCGGTCTACTCCGGGTGACCGTGAGTTTGACCATAAACGAAGGATGTTACGTATGGAAATTGGGCGAAGCTTGCGTAAGGACCGGGAAGCCTGGTGGTCGATGCGTGCTAATGAGCTAGAAGCAGCAGCTGCATCTAGTAACTACCGGAAGCTCTTCCAACTCATCCGAGCCACTGGCAGCAAGAAGTCTGGTGTGAGCGAAACAATCCACGAGGATGACGGAACGCCAATCACTAACATCCATCGACGTCTTGGACGATGGGCAGACTTCTTCGAAGGGTAGTTCAACTGGCCTGCTGCTCCGGCAATATCGGTCAGACTGTCCTGCCCTCCATGGCCGATGACGAGTGATCCACCAAATGAGGAGGAAGTCCGCAAGGAACTCCAACTCTTGAAGCGTTACAAATCACCTGGTCCAGATGACTTACCTCCGGCTCTTTTTAAAGATGGTGGTGAATTTTTGACTAAGGAATTGACGACGTTGTTTACAAAGGTTTGGGAACTAGAGAGTGTACCAACGTCATGGAATGAGTCGATAGTTGTCCCTATCTTTAAAAAGGGTTCACGTCGTCCCTGTAACAACTATCGGGGGATAAGTCTACTTCCGATTGCGTCCAAGCTATTGGCTTCCGTCATACTTCGTAGGTTGTTCAAAACCCGAGAAAGATTGACTCGCGAGGAGCAGGCTGGGTTTCGTTCTGGTCGAGGATGTATTGATCATATCTTCACCCTCCGCCAAATGTTAGAACACCGCCATACTTTTCAAAGGCCAACAATCGTAGTGTTTCTTGACATCAGGGCTGCCTTCGATTCGTTGGATAGGACTGTTCTCTGGAATTGTCTATTGAAGAAGGGTGTGCCTGAGAAGTTTATTAACATCCTGAAAGCCCTATACAGAAACACCTCAGGCAGAGTGAGGGTATACAACCACCTCTCTCCATTGTTCCATTCGAGCAGTGGGGTTAGGCAGAGTTGCCCAATCTCACCATTCCTCTTCAACTTTGCCATCGATGACATTCTGGAAACAGCTCTGATGAATGTAAGTAATGGTGGTGTGGATCTGTTGCCTGGATAAAGACTTCTCGACCTTGAGTATGCGGACGATATTGTCTTACTGTGCGATAATGCCCAAGGCATGCAATCCGCACTTAATCAGTTGGCAATCAATGTCCGTAGGTATGGTATGTGCTTTGCACCTTCCAAGTGCAAAGTACTCCTACAAGACTGGCAGGATTCTAATCCTGTACTCACCCTGGATGGTGAGCAGATAGACGTAGTCGAGAAGTTCGTGTATCTAGGTAGCTGCATAAGTGCTGGTGGGGGTGTGAGTGATGAGATCAATGAACGTATCGTGAAAGCCAGAGCGGCTTATGCCAATCTGGGCCATATTTGGCGCCCTCGTGATTTTAGTCTGACTGTAAAAGGTCGGATCTACAACGCGTCGGTGAGAGCAGTTTTGCTCTATGCTTGTGAAACCTGGCCTCTTCGAGTTGAGGATGTTAGAAGACTCTCTGTGTTCGATCATCGCTGTCTCCGAAGGATTGCTGACATTCAGTGGCAACACCATGTCAGTAATGCAGAGGTTCGGCATCGTGTGTTCGGGCACAGAGATGATAATTCAATTGGTGTCACCATCTTGAAACACCGACTTCGGTGGCTTGGACATGTTCTCCGAATGTCGTCCCAGAGAATTCCACCTCGTGCATTATTTACCGACGCTGGGACTGGTAGGAAAAAGTGGAGAGGTGGTCAGTCCATGACATGGTGTCGTGGTATGAAAGAAAGCTGTAAAGGACTGGCTTGTGTTGGTCCTTCACGACTCCCTGGTTGGGGTCCTAGAGATGGTGTAACACAGTGGCTACAGACGTTATCAGATATGGCTCAGAATAGAAGCCAGTGGCGATCCTGCTGTAACCCTCTTTTACTTTCTTCATAAAAAAATGGTTGTATCTTCCTTAATTGAAAGATTTTTTCTGATTGTACTTTTCCGTTCCCCTATTATTACCACTATTATTATTACACTACCTTACACCAATCTCTTCCTTATTGTTCTTTTTTTACCCTCCCTACCGTTTTTTTCTTTTTCCTTCTCTTCGAATTCTCATTGTTTTGTGTGGCACATATATATTTGGCGCACTCTTGTACCAATATGTATGTGTTCAAATAAAATAATAATAAAACTCCTCGACTTCACCGGTGGTCCGTCGTCACAGGTTGAAATCCACTTATTTTAATATTCATCAAGCCCAAAATTAGTGTCTCAGTCATTGGGGAGAGTATAGTTTTCATAACGTCGATCGTTTATGTTTCCCATGTCATGTTTATCACTGAGATTTCTTGTGGGTTCCATTATTTAAAAGTATAAGTCAGTCAGTCAGTAACAACGTAGAACTTCGTACGTACGTACACCAGTTCAAGATGCCATACCACATTAGCACAGAGATGCAGTTGTCGATTCAAATCCCATAGTGGTAGAGGTAGTAAGAGTATAAGCAGTAATCGGAAACATTAGGGTTTGAAGATGTTATTCAAGGAGTGTAATCCAGTGAAATAAATTTGGAAAGAAAATAAGGGACATGAAGAATTCAGAAGATTAGAATTTGGGAGAACACAAAGAGTGGATGCACCTGCGCCATTGCAAACGATTTTGAGTTATGTCATTCAATGTCTCTAACCATCGGTTGCTATCATATCGCGGTCCCCAATCAGGTAGTATACACCTACCAACATGGCTTAGTCCACTTGTCAGTGACTTCATGGACTTGTGGCGTGTTTTGGTCTGGTCGCCCCTAGCTTTCCCCCAACCTACTCCTACACCATAAAACATAGCACGTCGAAGCAGTCGGTGGTTGGGCATACGTAGCACATGTGTTTATTTAAAAGCACAAACCCTTTATCATTAGTATTTTTGCTGTCAAAATTCATTTCTTTACGAAAAAGGTTACTTCGGTTATCTTACTTCTCATTCGTGAAATATACTGAAATCATATACAGTCAAATCAACTTATCAATCTGATCAGAGTTATGATCCAATTGTTACACGACATCCGGCTGCTTGGTAAGAGTTGTTTCCAGAATATGAATAGTAAATGAAACGTAAATTACGAGCGCTATCATCAGCTATGACTTCGTAAATATCAAAACACTGCGAAACTGAAACTGATTGCCACATATATGATAGAACATACCATTATGCATCAGAAATAGCATTTACGCATCTACTGAACTTATCATTAGAAAAATTATATCTGCTCTGCAGACTACTAATGATTCTAAACTTCCCATAAACCACTGATGGGGAAATTTAGCAGTAAACTAATACTTAGTATATCATATAACATTCAATAACCAATTCAGAAGTCTCTAACTACATTGGACTTTATAAGATCAGAATAATAGTGAAATAAATACCTTTGAACCACTAAAACTAGAAAGTATGGGTAAATAAGATCTTAGTAAACAAGAGAAAAGAGAGATCACATAGTATATATTAGTAAATAGGAATGTCTTCAAAAGAAAGGAGACCATAACATGATTAAAAAACCTCAAAATCCTACTTTCCAAATACTATTTACAAGAAAATGTCTTCAAAAATGGATCCGAATCATACACAAGTTGACAGCTGCAACTAACATTTTTGTGAATTTACATTATCTTCTTACAGCATAAACGACTAGTAGCATATACATAGAAGGGCAGTTTGTTGAGCCACTTTAGCATTTCATATAGTGAACTATGAAACTCGGATTTAATAAAAAAACGTCAATGTTATATTAATAATTATAATTTATATGGTGCGTGGAACAGTTTGTTGCCGTTTCCTCTTACAAATAATCCATGTCTCAGCCAAGAAACTGTGTATTAAGGAGGGAATCACCTACATCTTATTTGATAGTTACATTTCCGATATAATACTGAAGCAAACACATTCTTAAAAAAAGTTAACTATTAAGGATTCATCTCTACACTGTGTCTCGCTCTGATAACAAACGAGTCAAATGAAAGGAAAACTGGTCAAATAATTCGAAGTCGGGACGAAACAAGTTAATCGAATATGAGGCTTTATACTATTAGTAAACAAAAATCCAGTATCCTTCAAAACTTTGAATCAGCAATACCTAGATCGAAATATTGAGACAGTAATAAATTGTAATGATGTGATTCAATACAATTTATCATGTAACATGTATATAAAATTACATAATAAGGACTGATTAAAAGGCGAAATTTCAACTTAACTTACTTGGTACGGATACATTACACTTTTGAACTTCATGAGGTAAAGTATCTTGGGAAGGAATCGACAGATTTGTACATGAATGAGAATATGAATTAAATGGTATACTGAGTAACGAGGATGAGGAAGATACATTGAGTAGACGTTTACACCTTGGAGGTATAACTGGTTGTAGTAAGCTTTGTGGATCAACATTTGTAGCTTTTATAAGCTGTGAATTTGGAAAAATGTGGGAAGAAGCAATTCGATCGGTGCTTTTGCTTCTTAGTTGAAGTGATCCGAATTCACGTACATCTATACAATATGCCGGAAAATATCCTTTATGTTTTGTTGTTTCATTAAGTCCATATAAAAAAGAGGTCGGTGCCGTAGCTTGAACAAGAAATGATGAGTACAAAAAAATCAAAAGTGGGATATATGTATATATAAAGATATAAAATTACGCAGTGGATTATAACTAAGTACTAGACATAATCAAAATGGACTGAATCTATAATAATCGCCTCGATGAAGTGTATATATTTAGAAATCTCTAAAATAGTTTTCAAAACTAAGTGTTACAAAAATCGGTAGAAGGGTATCCTTTTTGAGCTAACTAAAAGGTTTTATATTACTGAAAAATATCAAGACCGTCAATAACGGATACATAAAGCCTTTTGGACTGACATGACAGTAACCAAATATTTTCAACATTACAGGTTCTATATAACAAACTTTGGACACATCAACTATCCAAACATTAAAACAAATATCGCAATGAGAAATTCTCAAGTTATCTTTTAAAATGTCCAAGACTACTGTACTTCACCTTTTAGCACTCAGTCTAATACTACTTAAGAATAAAAACATAAGATAACAAGACTTTGAACTTGAAATATAACAAATGCAGTACGTTTCTCTGTCAATATTAATAAAAATAGTAATAATAACTGGTTAAAACTGATGGACCGAAACAAAACGTAAATTCACTTCACTAACCATTTTGTGGTCGACATTCAACCACTAGAATATCACCAGCAATAACATCGAGATATTCCTCTGCTGAGAGAGGAGTTCGACGAAATGTCGAAATGCAAGTATATCTTCCTGGATGTATATCATAGTTAAAATATGGGCGGCTTTGTGTCATAAAATATTATCTTGCTTTTTAATTACCAATACGCAAATGACAGACTAAAACAAGTCATAAAATAAAAAAATAGTAGATAGAATCGGTAACACTTGTATGATCACACAAAAAAGAATCAAAAGACATAAAGCACAGTCTCTATTATTTATTAACTAATTTGCAGAAATCGGAAGTAAACATATGGTCACAAATTTAAAAGTGCTAGATTATTATACATGTTTTTCCAGCTCTTCTTCTTGTTGTTTGGCACCTTTATACATCCATCGGTGATTAAGAGATATATATGGTGATGGAGTGTACTCTCCGATTACTGGAATATGCCAGTCAGGATACCGTTGTCTGAACTCCACATTATATTTACCCAAAGCTGACATTAATGCGAATCCGACGCATGTAGTAGCACGTACCTTCATAGAACCTATAAAAGAAACATGTGAGAACGATTATAACACAATATGGTTATTGTTACATGCATAAAATTTGAAAACAACAGATCATTGTATCCAAACAAATGTAGATAATAGATTTAATTGTGTTCATCATTTATTGTTATTAAAAATTTAACGTGAACATTTTCGAAGAGCATATTTTTATAAACAGCATATTATCACGTACAAATATAGGCTTATGCATTCCAATCGAAAAGACACTTATTCATTAAAAGAAGAATATAAGTCATGTTCGTAGTCGTACGAAAGATAATATCCATCATACCCTTGACAGATATTTTCTCATTTAGATAAAAAATTATTGTACCTGATCCAATTATTTAAAAGTGTGAATACATTAAAACTTTATCCATGCATTGTCTTTGACGAAAATTCACATGTTCAGAATATACTACAGATTTCCAGTGGATACCTTTCATTGCTCATAAACGAAGTTAACTGAACGGCATTCAAACAATACATCAACCCAAGACAATGTACATTATTCTGAAACCACAACAATGAATTCAGTACAAAAAGGTTTTAAAACACCTATCGATGCCATCTGACTGAATATCATCTAGTGCCACTATTTCGTGCTAGTGAACAATGAAATGTTAGTAGACTAATTTAATGACTTATGTGGAGACATAAACACCGATTCTAACGCCAAAACATGTACGTTAAGCATCACAGTAAATAAGTCAAAAAATTTATTCCAAGGAAATCCCGTTTATTTGTTTGATGTAGTCTAATGAAATAAAGGCAATTTTCCAAGGAGTATACGATAACATCTTTCAGTAGTAGCAGTCTACAAGCGCGAACCGAAAATACCTTTATGGAGAGTTAGCAACTATAATACAGTTTCATAAACTCCAAGCCTTGGAGTGAATCTAGCTATTGTGACAAACCTCGTAACATCGGAAAGCAAGATAACCAGTCTGATGAGACAATAAAGGGAACAAGTCACTCTAAAACACATCCACTGCATCGGATAGTTATTTATTGATTATGAAATGAATGCTTCCTCCACATGAATCTACAGGTACTTGCTTTCAAGGACAAGCAGTAAAAGAAAAAGGATAAAGATTGGATACATTTACTTAACTATTTCCGAGCACCCAACTGAATTTTATATCTTCATAAACTACAAACACTTGGTGGCCACATCAATCTCTTTTCAATGCCTGAAGTTTTTGCAACAGAAGCCTTTACGATGATATTATGACGAAAACATCAGTAAATGATTAAATTGCTGAACATTGTCCAAACAGTAAGTAGTGCTACATTGATTGCTTGTACAGTGATTTACTTGAAATTGGAGAAGCAAGATTTGGATGCTTGTACTTAACACCTACTTATATTTTCCGATACAAATCATCCGGCTTTGACATTAGATTTCTAATTTTATCCAATATTATTTTTACTTGAGTAGCTTAAAGGGATTTACAGCTTGAAACACTGAAAAATCTCTCTTAAATTTAATACGTGTAAAACAAACTACATAGCGGTTACTATCTCCAGTTGGTAGCCGGATTTGTTTGTCAAGATGTACTGGGTATTAGCTTAGTTAAAAACCCTTCACTATCCCAGGAAGTCCGGACAGAAAGTTGCATAGGCAAAAAATAGTCTCCACGTGCAATTCAACACAACAATTCAATCTCGATGGTACATGTTGCCGGCTTAGACGGATTAAAACAGTAATAACATCTTTGTAAGCATCTCCAGCTATACTGCATTCTTAAGCTTAAAAGAGATCATTAAATATCTACTACATGGAGTACTGGTGGCGCGAGATTATAAAAGTATAGACTTCACATGACAAAATTAAAAATATTTCTGATTACATGGGACTGGTCCCAAATAGTTATTATTCTGACTGCCCAGTAAAACTCTTAGGACAATGAGACAGATACAGTGTAAGCACACCTCTAACCATGACTACTTTTTAAAAATGTACATGAGGTATGGGAAAAGGCTCTTCGTAAAACAGTTGGACATGCAATGAACTAGATCAATAAGATTGGAAATATTCGACTAACGTCCAGGTTACTAGCCTTACTTAAGCTTCGGTGATCTGACTGAAAAGAAAATGATCAATATGATGCCCACTTGTATGTGAAGGCTGAGGAATGTAAAGGAATCAAATGATGTTTTCATGTATACACCTGGTTGCTAACTTTGATCGCCATGGTCTTCACTGTCCTTGGTAAGTGAATATAAATTTAGATGGAGAATTCCGTCGACACTACATATTATAGTGAAAACTAAGCTTTATTGGTCTTATTCTCGCTCTTTAGTAGATGAAAAAATGCTGAACTTTAAAAAAGTGGACAGTATTTGATAAAGGGACAATATCTTTTCCAGGCCGTTTCGGCTACGTGTTCGATTCCAAAGAGCCAATTAAATTTATGCATACATATAGAAGTATCAGAACTCAGAATTCTCTTTTACTTGCATTGAAAGAGCAAAACATGTGGTAAACAATACGACGTATTATTAAACGAACAAATGTACAAAATAGTATGTTATAAACACTAACAAGACTCACATTGCCATGTGCAGACTAAACCACTAGCAGCTCCCCCAAGTGCATGATTCACCCAGCTATCTGATCGGCCTGTAGCTTTTGCTGATATAAAGGAAACAGACGAGTGACATACTGCAGCAGACGCTAAAACAATAGCATAGTAGTGAGAGAAATATTTACTTCCAGTGAGCACGTATTTAATACACTGTAGTCCCGTACTATTTAGGCTCGAACCTAGTCTATGCGCTCTGCCATATTCGAGCACACAAGCAATAAAACCTGAAGTAACAAAGTAAACGACAAGTTTAAAATGATGAGTGACTTTTGTTGAGTCATAATACATTTATATTAACTTTAAAATGAAAAGTACTGTTAATTAGAATTTATTTTTTCATGGAACTGTCTGTGCGTCCCTTATTTCTATGATTCTGTAAATTTTACAATGGGTTGAGTGACCAATTAAGTTATACATCTTAAGTAGCAACACTTTTGTAAGAATAAATAACTTCCAGCCCAATGAGTTGTAAAGCTCATCCGAAATTTATTACTTTAGTCAGCTGATTACATTTACTTCGAATCAGCAACAAGTATAGTAGAAAATAAATATCCACAAACGAGAAATACTGTATCTATGTAAATCATCAAGCATTTCACGTAGTCAGCTTTAAACATTACTGTACCAAAAAGAAGGCCTCGAGACTAAGCGATAAACCTTCATTCTAAATATTAGAACGCCCCCAAATGCCCTGGTATGGCCAAGAGTAGGGAGAATCAGATCTCCCTCTCGAAATGCTGTCATATGGGCACGCGTATATAGCCTCTGTCAGGGAAGTCCTACTCATTGCCTTCTCGTGGTTGGGCTGTTGTTTACGAAATTGAGAGAACGAAAAGCGAATGTCAGGCACTTTAACCGGGTTGGTGAATACGGAGGATCCACATAGAGAAGTTGGAAAACCCTGATTCCAAACTAAAGGTGCACATGGGCTCCAGTATCCTGAAGGAACAAATGGCGTATGGACCTACTGTTGGTCACCAGCTACCATGGGACTGCATCTCTTGACATAGCTCCACTGCCCTGTGGATCAGACCTTCGGGTCAAAAGCCCCGGGTGTGGCCTCCTAAGAACACCACCTGCTTCGGTTTGGGCACCCAGGCAGTATCACAGCCCTCACACATATCAAATGAGATTTGTGTGGCGCATATGTATTTGGTGCCTCCTTGTATCAATGTTTATGTGTTCAAATAATAATAATAATAATAATAATAATAATAATAATAATAATAATGATAATAATAATAATAATAATGATGATAATAATAATAATAATGATAATAATAATAATGATAATCATAATAATAATAATAACAATAATGATAATAATAATAATAATAATAATAATGATAATAATAATAATAATAATGATAATAATAATAATAATAATAATAATAATAATAATAATGATAATAATAATGATAATAATAATAATAATAATGATAATAATAATAATAATAATGATAATAATAATGATAATAATGATAATAATAATAATAATGATAATAATAATAATAATAATAATAATGATAATAATAATAATAATAATAATAATAATAGATATCCGTCCATCAATTAAGTGACGAGTATATTGTGCAGCAGTTCGTTCCGTTCTACTTTACGGCTGCAAAACACACAAACATTGGTACAAGGAGGCACCAAATACATATGCGCCACACAAATCTCATTTGATATGTGTGAGGGCTGTGATACTGCCTGGGTGCCCAAACCGAAGCAGGTGGTGTTCTTAGGAGGCCACACCCGGGGCTTTTGACCCGAAGGTCTGATCCACAGGGCAGTGGAGCTATGTCAAGAGATGCAGTCCCATGGTAGCTGGTGACCAACAGTAGGTCCATACGCCATTTGTTCCTTCAGGATACTGGAGCCCATGTGCACCTTTAGTTTGGAATCAGGGTTTTCCAACTTCTCTATGTGGATCCTCCGTATTCACCAACCCGGTTAAAGTGCCTGACATTCGCTTTTCGTTCTC